ACACACTCACTCACTCACTCACTCACTCACTCACTCACTCACTCACTCACACTCAGACTCAGACTCACAGTATGTTCTGCAGGGATGAGGGTCGTATAAAGATGGCGATGGGGTGAAGTTGGGCGGCCTGTAACCTCCTCACTGCATTCGCTGAAACATCCAGGATGCAGTGCTTCCCCTGCTGTTCTGCCACCTGTCTGACGCTCTGGACGCTGGTGCCGTACAGGTGGTTGTTGTACTGTCCGGCCTCGATGAACCGGTGACTCTGAATGTCTTTCTCCATCTGTTCACGTGACAGCACGAAGTGGTAGTCGCGGCTGTCCACCTCGTACTCGCGCTTGGGCCGCGTCGTGTCTGTCAAACACAGAAAGCCTCTTCAGCGAGTCTTGTGTGCAGAATACAATCAGAACAAACCCTCGACTGCCATTCATGAGTTTATGGTCATCATCTGTGGGCAGGGCTCCAGACTAACCTTTGAGAGCAGCGGCATCAGCGCCACTAAGTTCTACAGACGGTGGTGTTGTGTGGGGTTATTATAAATAAAGATAATTTAAATCATAAAATTACTATTGATTTGCATTAATAAGTGCAGTTACTAATAATATTACACTTTATTTCTTGGTAATACACATTTGAGAGTAAAGCACTGAGCTTGAGTTGGGAAGCATTCAAAATGTAGGCTACTTTTATTAACAACAGTAACATGTGCAACATTTTTATATAGTTTATTATAGGCTTAATTAATATAGGCTACTAGTATAAATGTACCATTATTCTTCTATAGCAGGCTATTACATGTAACTGACCAATAACTTCAGTGATTATAAAAGGAACACTTTGTGTGATTCAGTCACAAATTGAAAAGTTTGTTTTTCACGGCACTTTGTGACTTTTCTTACTTCTTACACAAAAAAGTGCAAAAGTTCAACAATTTGATTTCTTGATTTGATATTTTATAATAGTGATTTTATCATTTCAAAATATAAAACAAAAAGTAGAAATAGATGACTCAAGCCAACAAGTGCTCCTCTGCTGCCATCTACTGGTTATAGTGGTAATTTGATGGGTTCTTTTAAATTATTATTTTACAGAAGCGTTTGTTTACCACAAAGTATATTTTGGTCATCCCTTTAAAAATACTTGACATTTTTAGAGCTTTAAAGTGCTGGAAATAGTTGTGCGAAAGCTTGAAAGTCATTGAAAAGTGCTTGAATTTCTCCCTTAAAAGATTGTATAAACTCTGAAATTAATAATGTAATAGCATTTAATGACTGTATTCGTTTAAGACGTTCTGCTCTGATCTAAGACCTTTTTAGGCTTTTATTTGAGGAAGGGTGAATCTTAAGACTATTAAAGACCTACAGGAACCCTGCTCTTTTATTTTTAGCCAGTTGCTAAGGCAATTTTTCTCTTTTTGATTTAGTTTAACTGGATGTACTAAAATGACTACAAATAAAAAGGAATAAAAATTATATAGACATTTAAAATAAAAAATCCAAATCTGATAAAAATGACAAAAATGTAACTAAAATTAAAAAGAAAACACAAAAATAAAACTATGTTAAGAAGTAGCCCAGGTTCTTACGTGGGACGCAGGAGCCGAACTTGTCGGGGAACTCGGAGAGCAGATCGTCATTGACGCGGTCCTTGCTCGGCCCGAGGATGATGACGGGACGCGCGTAGTGCACTGTGGGACAGTAAATGACATCACAGTCAGTCAGCAGAACACACTGTGACAGCAGTGTCACCCAGAGACGCGAGACTCACCTTCAGCCTGAATCACCATCTCATAGCTGACGATGTATTCGCTGCGTCCTGAAACACACACACACAAACACACACACACACACACACACACACACACACACACACACAGAGCGTT